CTCTCTCTCTCTCTCTCTCTCACACTCACACACACACACACACACACTAAATGCACTATAATCAGATTTATTTTCCTTCTTGGCTCAAATGCCACAAATATCAGACTGGACGACACTGAAGGGGATTTATCTCCCTTGACATTCGTCAGCATCACTTCAGGGGCAGCATTTTCTTCACATTTGTTGGGCTTTTGAATTGTTATTATATTATGAACTACCCAAAACATTCCTTTTGTTTCCAAAATGTGGAAATCTTTGCCTTAAGTCTGGCATCATGATCCCTGTTCTCCATCTCATACTCACACAGTCCACCACCAGTTTGCCCAGTTCTTTAGCTCCATAGACAGTCTTGGCCAATTCCCAAGGGTTGGAGGGACGAAAGACATCCACAGAGCTCACGGGAACTTTTGGTGTTCTGCCGGTTCCAAGAGAGACAACAACTCCCAACTTCTTCACCTTGTCACCCTGACCCTGGATTGGTGGAAAGAAAAATAAGCAATTACTTCAAATCTCCAAGGATGAAGGGGGCAGGAGTTCTCATATTTTGCTTGAATTTTGCACTAAAGAGGCATATACATAGTTCATGTGAAATAGGTGTTTGGAATATTATTCTGGTTGTTCCTTTCCATTCTTCAAAAAGGTATGGAGATTTAGCAAATGAGTTGTTTAACCTGTTCACAAAACTGACTGGTAGTTAAATAGCTCCTTGAAGTCCTATACATTTATTCCAGCAAAAATTTTCACAAAGCTTGAACCTATTTAGTTGCAAATCACTGTTTGATATTTGTGTCGCCTTGCCATTTTTAAAAGAAAATGCAAATCCCACTGAACTTTATAAGACTTCCTTCTTGGTAAACCTTAAGGAGACCATTCCTTTCCCTGAGACCATATGATGGTCCTTGCCAACACATCTTTTGTAGAAAAGTCAGACTTGATTATGACAATCCATGCTTCAGTTACTAGCTGAGCAGATTACTGCAAAATTCTCTGGCTAGCTTTGCAGACATTTTTGAAACTCCAGTTGCTCCAAACTGCAGCAACCAAGGTTTCATGCCATGTATCACAGATCAAAGCATATAATTCTCACCTTATAGTGTGAAAAAGCCCTAAGGGCTTAGGATCAAGTATCCTTGAGAACTGTTTGCTTTCATACAGAAATCCTATCAGAGCACAAATACAACAGGGTCTTATGCTGGTACCTTGGTTCTGGAATGCTTTTCCAATTAAAAAAATGTCCCTCTCTCCATTATGTTTTTGCCAGAAATTGAGGGTGCACAGGCTTTTAATTTGAAATACCAATTTTAGTGTTGCCTCCTTATCATCTTTCCCTTCTTGGATTAAATATTAAATATTAAAACAGCAAGAAAGAGAAAGAGCAATAAAACTAAAGTGCTGGCTATATGATGTGGCTTCTATTAGAAATTGGTTGATGCAGCTTACTTTGAGGGGATTTTATGAAAATGTTCTGATTATGCTGTTTGCTAGTTACTTTTAGATCCCATTTGTGATCTGGGGCACCCACATATTATATTGCCAAATTAGGCAGCAAAACACCTCATTTCCAGCAGTGCTACTTTATGCCCCCCTTGCCCCACAGCTAAACAGCAACAAAACCAACTGAAACATTTCACCTTTTAGCCACCCAGGACATCCATCACTCTCTTAATTCTTTAGAAACCTAACTGGTCCTTTTAAGAGAAAATACTGTCTCTGGACAAAAAAAATGGGTTCACTCTTGGGACATTTTAGAAGATTGCACTGCAAATTAGAGCATGTCTTTAACAAATATTCTTGCAGAATGAACCCGTACTTTCTGGATTAAAGACTTGTTGTATTCATTGATCTCAGTTATGGCATCCAAAGTGGGATTGTTGGCTAGCAGCCCTCCGTCTAGAAACCGTCCTCTGGGCCGAAAATATGTTGGAGCAGCTCCACTGCAGCGGGCAGCCTGCCATACCAGTTGATCTATGAGGAGGAAACAAAAAGCAGTGACTATTTTGTCAGCAAGAATAATGTATATCAATATTATAATACACAACACAGAGAGACTATCTAGCTATCTGCCTGTCTCTGAAATGGAAAAAACAAAAGAAATTCCAATTCAAGGAAAGGTTTGGAGGTAGTGGTGAAGCCAACAGATCCAACGAAGAACAAAAAATAAAAAGTACACTCTAAAACATTATGGTGCATAACAAATATTACCCCAAAATTGCTGGCAACCCAAATGCAGGTGAATAGGAGACAATGACACTGATGGCTCCATGCATGCTTCCTTTATAATAGTCAGGAGGTTGAGTCATGGCAACTGGACTTCCTTTCTTTTTGGTTAGAGACATTTCGCTACTTGTCCAAGAAGCTGCTTGGACAAGTAGCAAAACATCTCTAACCAAAAAGAAAAGAAGTCCAACTGCCATGACTCAACCTCCAGACAATTCCACCTGGATGACTGAGAATCTTCATAAACGTATCTTCCTTTATAATATTTAGCAAAGTTGTCTAACACCATGTTTTTAGCCTTAGGGCTGCTCCAAATGTCTTTTTTCCTACACAGAAATTATCCTTGTGATGGGAGAGAAATACGGCTGCATATACAACCAGTCTTTACTTTGTTATAAGCAGAAGATTATGGGAAAGTGACATTTTTCAATCTTATTTAGGATATGTAGTACACACTCATTCCAAATATGATATATGCTAAGTGCACAACTATTCTGTTTGGTCCAATTCCTTACAAGGTGGTGAATAAGGAGAATTATGTGCCCCACACAGGTTCCCCCTACCTCTCACCACTCCCCCCCCCACAGCACAACAGTGCCTGTCCTGTGAGAATTTTACCTTCTGGCCTGGTCATTGCTTGAAATGAGCCTATCATCCTGAAACGAGATTTGTTTCTTCGTTCTGGCGGATTGTAATTCCTGAACAAGTGGAGCTCAGCAGGTTGTCGGTCACTCAGTGTTGCTGTCAACATGACCCTGTAAAAGGTTAAGCCAGACAAAATTTCAACTTCATTGTAAGACAGAGACCATAGCCCAGTAGCAATACTTATCCCCTGCAGGCAGAAGGTGACTGACTCAACCCCCTAGTTAAAGGAGATCAGGTAGTACCTGCTGAAAAATACTTTTACTGGAGAATATGGCCTCATTACCAAACCAAGTAGGCAACTGTAAGAAAGATGGATCATTGAAACTAAGACAGCTTTGTCTGTATGTTATCGTTCTTCTATAAATCACAAGGTGCTATTATAATTTTGCCAGGCAATCTACTGTTTAGGTACTGATGAGATCCCAAGCCTACTTTGATTAAGCAAGAGTTTAAGCTATGTACCTTAAGGTCACGCCTTGGATTTGTGTTCACAGAAACCTAGAGGAGGTAAATAGATGGCCAGCAGAGCTAAATACTAAAACGTAGGGGTTGGAATTCAGAAAGCCCTCCCAATAGTTTTCATTTTGACTTACTTGGGACTCTTGATATCTGTCATTTTGGTATGCTCTCCAAACTCCTTCTTCAGGAAATTCTCAAGACACTCAGATTCATAGGGCCGCGACCCTCGAAAGACCTCATCTTTCATGCGAAAATATGCACAGCGCATGTAGTCCATGGGCTTCTCTGAGAAGAAGAACGGAATTATTGGTTTCCTGGAGAACCCCTTCAGATCCAATCCAACTGATAGAAACAGGCAGGAAATTATCTAAACATCTTGGTAGAAGCATGGAAACCCATGTTTTGTGCAATGTGTGGAATCACCAAATGTGTGATAGAAGAGGGGACATCAGAAAAGAATGTTTCAATAGCAGGAAGGAATACATGAAGCTATGCCAGATGCAAAAGTGCAATGAAAACGTGAGCCATTCTGCATGGAAATGTGTAAAAGATCCATATACTGCATGCTTTGGATGCAGGAGATCCCAGATTCAATCTCTGTTACTCTTTGTTAGAGGAATATTGGTAGAAAAACTAGAAAAATACTTGGTCATTTAGAATACAGACCAGGAGGACTAAATGGTTTAATTACATGATTAAATATAGGAGCTTCTGATGAAGGGAGGTAAAGAATAATTGAAGAATTGTCTGATGGGCAGACCAATCCAAAAAAATATCTGAATGACACATTATCTAAGGTGGAGGTAACATAAGGTAAACTAGGGTTGCACTCTATCTAACTCCAGGAATGGAAGCATTACATTGAATCTCAATTTCTGGATCAGGAACTCTTGGATCTTTTGCACCTAATCAATAAAAAACCATCTCTAGCCCTCTTCTAGGCTGAATGCATGTTAATTACCTGCCCAAAGATCAGAAATAAAAATTAACTAGAAAATAACTGAGCTTGCTTATTTATAAATCTAGCAAAATTGTAAAACAAACACAGCAATGAGAAGGATTTAGGTGGTTTGACAAGAAAACTGGAGCCCAATTCTGATCAGGTTTTATGAAGAGCAATCCCCCATTTTCTTCCCAGTTCAGTGACCATTCCCATCCCAGGCTTCCTTATTCACATGGGAATATTTGCTGTTCACGTCACTCCTTACCATGTACAATGGACAGGGCCAAAATTCCCCCTGTACTAGTCCCCGCCACCCAGTCAAAGAGCTCTCTGATGGGACGCCCTGCAGCTTTCTCTATAGCGATGAGAAACTGGATGAGCACAATGCCCCGGACACCCCCACCGTCCAGACTCAGGAGGCGGTCCAGGCTAGAGAAGGGGAAAAGAGAAAAGAAGGGAAGTGTCAACCCCAGAAATAGCTCTGCCTTGTTCTTCACATTCAGATGCCTCAGGGAGATAGCTTAATGTTTATATACATTATGTATCTAATGTACAAAAATAATTGTTCCTGAGAGTACATTTGAGCCACAGAAAAGAAAAAGTAGACATGGATCCTTTCTTTCCAGGAATTCAGTGCATCTTTACTGGATCCTCTCAGTGCAGGGAGATCTAGACCACCAGTGTAACTTTCACTGACTCTACTTGCTTACTTTCTGCTCTTCTGAGGGGCAGAGTCCACCACATCTGGTTTCTTTAGCAAGTTGCCAAGAGCTGCTGAAACATGGATGATGTCTTGGAATTCTAGAAAGACACAGAGCAACAAACAAAACATAAAATTTCTAATTTTCAGGATAGAACAGACACAGTTTAGAACTAAAAGTTTAAGATGTATTCTCTTGGTTACTGCAGTGGCCAGATTCAATAGATTTCAAGGTTCTTAAGGCATTGCACAGAAGGAAGTGATGTGACAGGCATACCTTTCCAGAGTCACCATAATCAGTGACAGGAAGTCATGCCTGCCAAATCCTTCCCTGTATGCAATGCTTATAAGAGCCTTGTTCCTATTGAATATAGCAATCCTATCTGCTAGCTCAAGAGCTACTTATTAATCTATCTCTTCTATAGCTGTAAGAACATGAAGGAAAAGTCTCTGGATGTATCACAGGGTAGATTACCATAGAACATGGTAGGTAGTGACAAGATTGGTTGCCTGATTGCTCCAATGCAATGACCAGTTTTCTTGCACATCCACACAGTATTGAAAAACCTGTAATCATCAGGAATGATGATTGTGGCAACATGGATGTGTACACTGGCATTCATTTACACATAAGAATTCTTATTCTAAGTGCAATCCCATATTGGAAATCCTAAGATGTGAAGTGGTCCAAGAGAGTGAAAGGAAAGAAAGGCACAGAGCTAGGTCGTATGTTACCTAGGCCAGAACTCCGTGGGGCTGGTGGTCTTTCTGGGAAGATGGAAGTGGATGATGATGAGGTAGGTATGCCAGGTGGATGGCAGCGTTCAATCCCTATCATTTGCAGCAGATCTAAAAGAACTTTCCGGTTGGCACCTTGCATGGGTGAGGCAGGAATCACATGCATTAGATAGAAAATTATTAAAATAAATAAAAATTATGTCACCAATTTCACGTACCTGGGAAGAGCTTGTATCTGAAAGACAGGTAAATATGCTTGCTACGGGCAATAGAGAGCAATTTTAATAACTCACTGAGGTAGCTCTAGGGCCTGATTCTTACATCTCCCCTCCACTGTTGGTGACTTGTCTATGATTCTAAACCTCCATTCCACAGCAGACCTTCACTGGGAAGTACAGATCTATGCCCCAACCCCAAAATCCACAGCTTATGTACACATGGATTCTGTTCACAATGTTAGCAGAATCCAGTTGAGTAGACCAAGATTGACCCTCCCATCCCCCTTCTTCTATCTACAAGTTCCTCTTACCTTTGCTTGTCCTGGCTGCCACCAAGCCAGGTGTCTCCCCTAAATCATTGGGGATATCCACATCTGCTCCAAACACAATAAGGGCCTTGATCATTTCTATGTGATCTTGCTATTGGGAAGAAAGGAACTTGTTAATGGAAGCACATTATCCTAGTTCTCTCCATCCATAGTTTACTAGGCTACACTGAAATGCTCGCCCATTTTACCATCTTGTTTGTTTGTTTGTTTGTTTGTGCTTCTATGTCACTAGTTCCTGTAGGTCTAAAGCTGCTTAAAGAATATCAAACATTGGGTTAAAAACACTGCGTTATTCTCATCAACATCATATGACAGTGCCATCCCTGGGGAGGTAGGCTAAACTTCCACATCCTCAAAAGCCCTCTTGAATAGCCAGGTCTTTATGGCCCTTCAGAAGCCAAATAAATTGGGGAGGACTAGATATAGACTTTCCTCTCCAGCAGCCACACTACAAACTGACAACTGGCTTATCCATCCCAAACAGGTCAGGAATTCCAACCTTCTTTGGGGAGAATAGCTGGTTTACCTAGATTAGAATGGCGGTGATGAGATAAACAAATATAAAAGAGTATTGGATTGATTAAACATGTTACTTCTACTGCTAGAAAACTGGGAGTAAGAAATTTAGGCTTTCTACTGCAAAAGATTCAAAGTTCTTCCAGAATTACCTTGTGCACATGTCTGCTCTCTGCATTTTAGAAAGAAAGCTCCTCTCCCAATATCCCATCTGCTAGAAAAAATATCCAAATGATGAAAGGCCCACCTGCATGGCCAGGTGAAGTGGTGTGTTGCCATCCTTCTCTTTAGTATTAGGCATAGCTCCATGTGTCAACAAAACCATTGTGCAATCAAAACGCCCACGCCTCACAGCAATATGAAGGGCTGATTCTCCTGTTGCACTGAGGATGTTCACTTCACAGCCAAACTCAATAAGCAACCGGGTCATCTAAAGCCATAAGGGGAGAAATCACGAATAGGAATTGCAGCATGTGCCCTTCTTTTCTTCCAAAAGCTTCTTCTATGATATTTTTCATGATGAGACAAAGATCATAGGTTGGTCCAACAGTCCTTTTAAATATTTGTAGTACATTACAGAAATTTCATCTAGTAGTTACCAGACCATTCACCTATACAAGGAGTCCTTGAGTTACGACCATTCATTCAGCAACCATTCAAACTTATGGCCACACTGAATGAATGGTAGTTATGCCCAGTCCCTGAAGTTATGGCCACTGCAGTGCCCCCACAGTCATGTGATCAAAATTCAGGCACCTGGCAGCCTGCTCGCACTTACAACTGCAGGGCTGCTTCAAGTCCCCCCATCCACCTATCTCCCCCATCTCTGCCCTTTTGGCTGCTCTATGCTTGCTGGCCCTGCCACCCCCAGCTGACCTTCACTGTCTTCTTCCTGCTGCTGCCAACAAGGTGCGCCCAGCCATGCCCTTCACAGGGCAGCTACTGGCGGCACCAGGCCTTCTTCCTGAGGCAGCACTCACCCCTTGTCCAAATCATGCATGGCCTTGTCCAAATTGCCTGTGGCCTTCTCATGAGGTTTTGGAAGGCAGGTACATGGAAGAAGTTCTTATTTCATGCGCATGACCTCCAGAACCTCGCGAGAAGGCTGCACATAATTTGGATAAGAGGTGGGCACAGCCTCCAGAAGAAGGCTGGGTGCAGCTAGCAGCTGCCTTTTGAAGGGCCAGGCCAGGCACACCTTGTCAGTAGCGGCAGGATGATGGCAAAGGTCAGTTGGGGACAGCAAGGCCAGCAAGGCCCACAGGGGGAAGGGCAGAGATAGGGGGAGATAGGCAGGTGGGAGGAGTTGAATAGGAGGCAGTCCCTTACCTTACCAAGGCTCAGGGCTGAGAGGGACCAAGCCAGGAATGGCTTGGATC